TTGTTAAAAGATCTTCCTTCATTGTGCTGGAGCATCTTCTCATGAGATTTTCCAAATCTCACCAGAATTAATGCACCCTCCGCAGCCGAGAAGCCATGTGTAAAGCAAGAATATTTTTTTACTTTTTTGGAAGGTTTTTTTTTGTTACAGCAGAGTGATTATAGCCTGGTGGCTTAAGGTGACCTTACCTTTTAGGCCCCTTTGGTTGGTTTGTTGGTTGGTTGGTTGGTTGGTTGGAGTGGCCGCCGGATTTCTGCTGCAAGGATCTGAGGATTCTTGCTGCTAAAAAGACCAAGTTATGAGATCAGCAATGGACGCTCAGCCCATTTAAACTAATGATGGGCTGACAGCGGCCACTGCTGTTCGTATGTAGCTGCACACAGAGCCGTTAGCTACAGAATAGGGACAGATGTCTGAGCCTGGACACTGTCTGCCATTACTTTAAATGGACTGAGCAGCAGCTGCTGATCACATAACCTAGTCATTCCAAAAACCACAGATTCTTGAAACAGTAATCCGGCGGCAGCACCAACCCGACCCATGAGGCCTAAGCAAAAAGTCGCTTTTGCATGTCTTATTTTATAACGTTTCCTTTATAGCAAGCACATTACAAAAGAAAAAAACAAAACAGGGCGCACTCTCCTCGTGCATTAACGCAAAAACCAAAAATGTATTAAAAAAGATGCAAAAACATACTCACAAGCCATAGAGGCTATAAAAACAGAGACAAGAAGTCAAAGGTGCCAATCGTTGGACAGTATGTGTCCTCGGATAAAGTGCTAACGCGTTTCAGAAGTCGAACTCCCTTCCTCAGAGCAATAGATCTATTGAGTATGTTTTTGCATCTTTTTAATACATTTTTGTTTTTTGCATTAATGCACGAGGAGTCACAACAGCACCGCAAACGCCTGCCAGGAGTTTGCAGAGCAGTACCATGGGCTTGAATGGGAGGCTTCAACTCCTCCTGACTCGACACGAGGAGTAAGTTTTGCCGTGACGCAACGTGACGTGATGTTAACGCTTCAGTGTGAACAGCACTGTGTGCTGCCATATGCAGAATTTTCATAGGCATTTGAGAAGCGTTAAAAACACTTCCCAAACGCCTGTCTGATGCCTGCTGACAAAGCTAAGTGAACTGAGCCTAAGACAGGAGGAAATGTTTACCAATAATCTCATCACTGTGGATGGTGTAGTTGCCATTAAACCACCAACTGCCTCTACACCATATTTCCTCTCCCGTGGCAATCGTAAGTAGATCACAGAAGCAAGGGTACACCTACAGTTCTATTAGCTTTGCTACCACTCTCACTTGATGTCTAGAAATCATTATCCAATCACAATTCATTCCAGTTTAAATATCACTGGGATCCACGTGCATAAAAAACTGGTGCACAGACCTGGATGCAGAGCCTGTGCGTCCGGGTCCATGCACCAATCCTTGCGTGCAAGTCAAATTTGACTGTATGGGTGAGTCCGTAGAGCCGATCCATGTCCATTCACTTTATATGGGCTGTCTAGATGCAGCTCAATGCTGCTACAATGCTAGTAAACAAACAGTTTTTCACACTGCACATGGTTGAGCACTTGTATGAATGAGGCTTAAAATTGAATTACTCTATCAAAAATAAAAGATAGAAGGGCTCGCTGAGATAATACAAGGAGTCTGTAGAGGACACAGGACATCTCTGAACTTCTGACAAAATCAACAGGTCTTTTTTTTCTTACCGAAAATACGGATATAACAAAATGCTTCCAACGCTATATTAAACAGACCACATAAGGGAACACAAAAAGAGAAGTTAATTGTTGGGGTTTACATACAATTTAAATCAAATATCAGCAAAGCAAATGCAGAAAAGCCACTACATAACAGCCTTTATTTGCAGGCTTTTGGCTTTTAAATGTGTAAAATATACCAAATGAGTCCATTTAGCAAACACAAAGCATTCTGTACTTCAACATATTCTTTTATATCCTTACTTGTCCTGTAAAATCTTCAAGATAGGCTGCTTAAAACCATGCTATTGTTTACTACAATAAACATCAATTTCCTGTTTTGGTGCTGGACAGCTGACATAAATCACATTCAAATTGCACGCAGTTTTTTACCTTGTCTGTTCTTGATTTCACATTAGCTGTGATTGGTAATAAAAAGGTGAGCATTCCCAAGCTTTTTACAGCTCTGATGTGCTAGCTAACCACTGTAAAGAAAACGAACAATAGGCTGAACTACTACCACTGTGCTCGCCAATCGCCATGTGCTCTCCTGCTGTGCACTGCACCAGCCATGCGAACAAATTATTATAGGAAGGGCCAGGAACACACTGGCTGTTTGTAAAGACTTTCTATCTAGGTCTGACAGTAAATGAATCATGACGCATTGTTCAATAGGGAGCATTCTCTTGTTTAAAAAAACAAGTTACATACTGAAGAATAAAGTATTTACTTTAAGGAACTATTTTATTACTATTTTATGTTCAACAGTCAAATCATTGACTTGACATATATCTGTAACACTTTGCTTTGCTTTCTTTAACACAAGCCCTTTATTCTCATCTAACTATAACATCTTTAGCACTGATTGTGTTTTTTACCATGCTTTCGCACCTTTATTTTTGCGTTTTTCACTTTTCTTTGCAATAGGAAGTCTAAAGAGATGTAGCGCTACCCCAGCATGGACCACAGATATTAACTGGTTCTTTCCCAAACAGTACAGAGGCCGCCAGTCACTCAAGCACCAGTCCATTCATTCCAGCTCCAATAAACAATCTAGAGGTTGTCTTCTTGTGATTTATTGCTTGTAGAACTTGTAACAAGAGAGGGATTGGGGCTTGGGATACTCCAAATCAAAGAGCAAACTGCAATTAGAGGACAATCTTCTTCCTGAAGCAAATATGAACAATGAACAGTCTACTCCTTCACAGCTGAAGATCACGGTACTTCACAGTAAAAGCATTTATTTTTGACTGGTATTTACAAAGTATACATCTGCTCTGCATCCATGCTGTCCATACTGTATGTGCTATTGATGGATTCCTTGACACTTGTTTGTTACATGTTATTTATAAAAAAGAATTATAGAAGAAAAAAAAATATGTGGTACACATGGCAAGTAGTGATCACCAATGGGGATCTCCTGCTATCCACACATAGTCTTGCTACACTGAAAAAATGAGCTATAAGTAAGTAGTTCTTGACTGCTACATTATGACTGCAGCCCTGGTACTGCCTATTGATGAGTTTGAGTTGATGGAGGGTTCGACTCAAACACTAGCTGTTTGAGATTCAACAAAAAAGGCTAAATTGGCCAAAAAAAATGAAATTGGCCTTTTCTCCTGCGCCAAACCTTTGGCTTGCTGGTTGGCTTCAGCCTACAGTCATTTTTTAGTGCCAGCATCACTATCACAACTAAATGAATAACTTCTTACCCACCTGCTGAATTGTTTCACATAGTAAATAAGCTAGTGGGTATCCTGGGTGACCAAACGTGATCTTGACCATATGCGATCAATGATGTTGTTGTTTAAAGTCTGCAGCCAGTCCAGGAGATGTTATATTGAGTATGCTGTCCAGTTCTGGTCACCAATCCTCAGGAAGGATTTGTTTGAACTGGAGAGAGCCCAGAAAAGGGTAACAAAGCTAAGAAGGGGGGTCTAGAGGACCCCAGTTATGAGGAGTGACTAGAATCATTAAACCTATTCTCCCAGGAGAAGAGGTGCTGAAGTGGGGATAGTGATATACAAATGGGGACTCTAGCATTATTTATTTTTTAGGTACTAGCACTGTCAATTTATGCAGCACTTTACATATTTATTTGTACATTCACATCAGTCCCTGCCCTCAAGGAGCTTACAATGTAAGGTCCTTAACACACATTCTAGGGCCAATTTAGACAGGATCCAATTAACCTATCAGCATGTCTTTGGAGGGTAGGAGGAAACCAGAGTACCCAGAGGAAACTCACACAGGCACAAGGAGGACATACAAACTCCAGGCAGGTAGTGTTGTGCCTGGGATTTGAACCAACAACCCTAATGCTGGTAGGAAGAAGTGCTGACCATGTAGGCACTGTGCTGCACATTAAGGTGAAACTTTTTATTCTTAGTTCTCTAAAAAAAAGTAATTTGGCCAAACAATGAATTTGGACAAGAAACCCATCCCTTTATCTCATATGCAAGCATAGCAGCGAGACCCTAACTGTACCAAACATCTATCCAACTATATGGCATAGTAAATAAAACTCCCTCTTCCACTGTACCAGCTACTTCCCCAATATCAGATACACTTTGTATTCGACTGTAGCTATCTCAGAAATTGTGATGATAATGCGTTGGGGGGGGGGGTACCATCATTGTGCTCTACTTTTGTATCCTTTTGCCATAAAACCTAATTGGAAATTATCCTTTAACCGCTTGCCTACAGGGCACTTATATCCCCTTCCTGCCCAGGCCAATTTCCAGCTCTCAGCGCTGTCACACTTTAAATGACAATTGCGCGGTCATGCAACAATGTACCCATATGACATTTTTATCATTTTTTTGTGACAGATAGAGCTTTATTTTGGTGGTATGTAATCACCTCTGGGGTTTTTATTTTTTCTTAAACAAACCAAAAACCACAGAAAATTTTGAAAAAAAAAAGGTTTTTCTTAGTTTTTGTTATAAAATTTTGTAAACAAGTGATTTTTCTCCTTCACTGATGTGCGCTAATGAGGCTGTAGTGATGGGCACTGATAAGATGCACTGATGGACACTGATAGGTGGCACTGATGGGCGCTGATGAGGAGGAACTGGTAGGTGGCACTGATGGGCATTGACAAGCATCACTGATGGGCACTGAAAGGCAGCACTGATATATGGCAATGATATATGGCACTGATAGGCGGCACTGACTGACACTGTTAGGTGGCACTGACTGGCACTGTTAGGTGGCACTGACTGGCACTGATAGGTGGCACTGATGCGCACTGATAGGCGGCACTAACTGGCACTGATAGGCGGCACTGACTGGCACTGATATGTGGCACTGATTGGCATTGATAGGTGGCACTGACTGGCACTGATGGGTGACACTGAAGGGCAACTCAGATGGGCACTGATATGTGGCATTGATGTGCACTGGTAGGCACTGATATGTGGCATTGATGTTGCACTAATGGGCACTGGCACGTGGCACTGTTCAGCACTGACAGCTGGCACTGATGGACACTGACAGGTGGCACTTCTGGGGCCACACTGATCATCAGGGCACACTGATCATCAGTGCCCTGATGATCAGTGTACATGTCCTGTCTGCAGAATGCTGATTACCGGCTCTCCTCTCCTCTCGAGCTGTCAGCGTGACAGCTCGAGAGGAGAGAAATGCCGATAACCAGCATTTCCGTGTTTACATGTGATCAGCTGTGATTGGACTTGCGATTGGCTCTTTCCTTGGATTGGTGATCCGCTGTGTCCGAGGGACACAGCGCACTGCCGATCACCGTGCTGCACACTCCCTGAGCTGCGCAGGCGCGGTGAGAATGGAAGGACGTCAAAAGACGGCCTATCAGAACGAGATAACCACCTTGCGCCCATCATTGGACTATATGGTGGGCTGCAGGTGGTTAAAAAGAAAGTTCAGTTGTAAACTATGAACATTTCTCTTTCTACACTATTCAAATAAATGGCATAGATTGTAAGCTCGAAAGAGCAGGGCCCTCGAACCCCTCGTGTATCACATTGTATTGTTTTCGTACTGTCGCATGTTCTGTCTCCCTTTGTAATGTACAGCGCTGAGCGAACTGTTGGCGCTTTATAAATACTGTATAATAATAATTATATACCAGCCAGTTTTGTCATGGTTATAGCACCAGAATTATTTCTCTAGAAGGCCCAGAAACTTCTCTGAATGGTTCTGGATACACAAACAGATTAGTTGGCATTTCTCATATATTTTGCAATTCCAGTGAACTATTCCTGTTCTGAGAAAAAACAATCTTTCAAAGGCACAAATGACTTGCAATAACGACTTGCATTTTCTCAAGATTGTGAAAGGTTTAGCAGGAATCAATACACCTCATACACCCAGTATGCTCTGAACAGGGAATGAAATGGGATGCCAGCTAAGTGATAGAACGGCATGCACGGATCACTCGGGTGGAAACAGATAAACCAGATGAGTGACCTGGAGTGTGGCAGAACATGCAGAATACGTAGATGAGGGAATAGGTCACATCTGTTGCACCCCAGTATTCTGGATCTAAGTAAACACTGGAATGTTGTCTACCAGCTGGAAACAATGACAGCCAGAAACAAGAGCAAAGCTCTAAAGTTAACATGGTGCAACAGAGAAACTGTTCTCCTGTATAGTGGAAATGACATATGTATCAAGCATACATCCAGGTAGTAAAGATCTCCCCAGAGAAGAAAGGTAAGTAGAAAAGAGATTCTACATTGCCCAGCAGAATGGTGGCAGCAGAAACAATAGTTACATCATTTATTATATAGTGACAATAACGTGGAATTAGGTCAGGCAGTATGTCACCTGCACTACAGCAGGGACATGTTTATATCATACAACACAGAAAGACCCGATTACTAAGACCGAACCACTCCAGGGTCCAAAGGTTGTAAAAGAGAATGTCAGATCTACAAGTTAGTAGTATATATTTTGTGAATATCTATTTTGCTATCACTGCATTTATGTCTGTATGCACCATTTGACCATTTGTGTGTATCTTAACCAACAACATCACCAAGCTACAAATTCACTCTCTCATGTTATCTCTTGTTTCCACTACTGCAACTCCTTCCTTGTTGACATAATGTAAGTCTACACAGGCTATCCCCCTTAAATCTATAATGAATGCTGCTACCGGACTCATCCTCCTTAGCTTCTATTCAGTTTCTGCCACCCCTTTCTGCCAATCCCTCCTCTAGCAAATACAATTTAAAAATATTAACAATGAACATAACCATCCACAACTCTGCCTCCAACTACATCAGCAACCTCATCTCAAACTCTCAACCAAACCGCCCATTTCTCTTCTCCCAAGTCCTTCTGCTCTCTAGCCCCCTTGTCACCTCTGCCTATGCTCGCCTCCAGGACTTCTCCAAAGCCTCTCCCATCCTCTGGTACTCCCTACTCCAACCTGTACAGCTAGTTCCTACTCTGTCTGCTTTTAGACAATCCATGAAACCTTTCTCTTCAGGGAAGCCTATCCCGACTCTAGGTAGCAACTGAATCTTACTATCTCAAATCACTCATTTATACCCAGTTATTAACTTTTGTATCACTTCTCATTTTCTCTATTTTGTAAGCTCTCCTGAGCTGGACCCCACTTATCTTCTTATCTTGAACTGTGTTGTAACTGTACTGTCTCCCTTCTTTTTCCAAAGTGCCGCACGAACTGTTGGTGCCAGTTGTGTTTCGCTAGTGGGGTGCGGGGGGTGCGGACTGCACCCGGGTGACACCCGCCAGAGGGGTGACACCAGGATATTTTCAGTCGGAAGGTGGCAGAATGGAGTTCTGCCATTTCTGGCGCTGGCCCTGTGCTTTCCCCTCACTACTGTCACTTCTAAACACAGAAGCCAGGCTTCTGTATTTAGAAGTGACAGCACTCCTGTCCAGACCGATACACTGAATCCTCCCCGGACGCAGCTCCACTGCTATTCTCTGCACACACAGCCTGCCATACTAGAGCCGGGGGAAACTTTTTCTAGGCTCCTTCCTAGCTCTGTGTCTTATGACAGGTTATAAGGAGGAGCCAGGGTGAAGGGCATCTCCTGCCCTACATTTAGCCGTGCCGTATCTGAGGTCTGTGTTGGGAGATGAGATTTGCGGGGAGAAATTCAAAGCATTTGATGTTCTGTTATTTGTACAGGAAGGGGGAGTGGGGCTGTGCTTGGAGGGAGAAGAAGTCAAGGGATTCAAGGGTGGAACTCTGCACCCTGTACCTAGCACCCTTTAGAACTCTGCACCCTGTACCCAGCATCCTCCAGAAACTCTTCACCCTGTACCCAGCACCGTCCAGAACTTTGCACCCTTCAGAACTTTGCACCATGTACCCAGCACCCTCCAGAACTCTGCACCCTGTACCCAGCACCCACCAGAATTCTGCACCGTTCACAACTATACCTAGCACCCTCCAGAACTCTGCAACCTTCAGAACTCTGCACCTTGTACCTAGCACCCTCCAGAACTCTGCACCCTGTACCCAGCACCCTCCTGAACTCTGCACCCTGTACCTAGCACCCACCCGAACTCTGCACCCTGTACCTAGCACCCTCCAGAATGATGCACCCTGTGTCCAGTACCCTCCAGAACTCCACACCCTTAAGAACTCTGCACCCTGTAGCTAGCACTCTCCAGAACTTGGCACCCTGAACCTAGCACCCTCCATAACTCTGCACCCTGTACCCAGCACCCCCCAAAACTCTGCACCCTTCAGAACTCTGCACCCTGTACCTAGCACCCTCCAGAACTTTGCACCCTGTACCTAGCACCCTACAGAACTCTGCACCCAGTACCTAGCCCCTCCAGAACTCTGCACCCTGTACCCAGCACCCTCCAGAACTCTTCACCTTGTACCTAGCATCCTCCAGAATGATGCACCCTGTGTCCAGCACCCTCCAGAACTCTGCACCCTTCAGACCTCTGCACCCTGTACCTAGCACCCTCCAGAACTTGGCACCCTGTATCTAGCACCCTCCATAGCTCTGCACCCTGTACCCAGCACTCCCCAAAACTCTGCGCCCTTCAGAACTCTGCACTCTGTACCTAACACCCTCCAGAACTCTGCACCATGTACCTAGCATCCTCCAGAACTCTGCACCATGTACCTAGCACCCTCCAAAACTCTGCACCCTTCAGAACTCTGCACCCTGTATCTAGCATCCTGCACTCTGTATGTAGCACCCTCCTGGTATTTAACACCCATTTAGGACCCTCCCACACCCAGTTGCTGTGGTGCACTCAACCCCCCCCACCCTCCTACCCCTGAGCAAGGTGGGGGGCGTGGTTGAATTCCTGCATCCGTTCTCTAAGAAAGAAGTCCTGTGGCAGGCTAGGTGGGAGAGCTGTGCCAATGCGCCAGCCTGCTTAGTGCCCTACTGCCTGTCCTGCTGTCACTCCAGGACAGAGCACTGTGGCAGGCAAGCAGGGAGAAGGGGGTGTGATGCCAAGTTTTACCGCACCAGGTGACACCAACCCTAGTGACGCCACTGGTTGGTGCTATACAAATCCTGTATAATATTAATCATCTAGATTGTCCAAGAACAGTATTCTCACAACTCCAAGATCTGTTCTACATTGTTTAATCTCATCTGCCCGCATGTTGTAAAGCGCTGCGCAAACTGTTGGCGCTTTATAAATCCTGTATAATAATAAAAATAATCTCCATAAAACAACAAATAGTCCTGCAGTCTATCCTCATCTGTGCTTGCCCATTACTGTATTACTGTTGATCATAGAACACTGACATTTTTTTTACATAATGTTTTCTTTTACAGGACTTTCTAAACTTCGTCCAATATATTAATGTTCACTGTCTCCTGATGCACTTCAGTACTAAAAAAAGACTAAGCTCTGTTCAAATCTAGGAGATGGCTGGGATACAATATACAGAATAATTTTGAAGATTGAATAAGAAAACAAATACTAAGTGATCATAAACTTAAATAGATTGAGTGGCGAGCTTTGCCCTTAGAAAAGCAACCTCCTCTGGAGCAGTAATACTTCTGTTATCGAGGAGACCTTTAAAGCCTAAAAGGTGGAATATCCAATCAGCTCCACATGAGCCCCTAAAGGAAAAGTGTCAGGACCTTTTCAAAATGACACTACATCCACCAAGTAAGTAATCTGGAAATTCAAGAATCCTGACCTGCAGGTGGCCTCAGCCTCCTGACTTTTATCAATAAAGACATTTATATTTATATACTTTTTAACCTTACTTCAGCAATACATGGGTAAAGCTAAGCTGAAGAAAGGTTTCTTGAATCAAAAGAATTCATTTTTATTTTACTCTGCTCAATATTTTATCTAAATTAATTATTAATAATGTTTTATAAAATCTAATAGCATCGTTTTGTAGATATTTTTATAACAGGACACACTGGAAATATGATTCCCATCAGATTTACCACCCTGAAGCAGGAAAATAGAACATGATTAAAAGGCTCACTAATAAATACAAGCATACCATGCCTTCTATTACTCTGGTACAAGCACAGGCTGCCTTGTCTGCTTACTCTCAGCTGTGATACTATCACCAATCAACTCTCCAAATTTCATTACAGTAGCTGACAGTATATCCGCTCTCACCTAGCTGTTTTTCTTTCACGGTTTTGGATCAGCGGGATGATACCATCCTAATATAACTATGCCATATGCTTAGACACACTTTGGACCTAACAGGCATGCTCAGCTATATGCAAATAGTGACTTTGAAAAAGCTGGTATTGGTATGGGGTTTTCAGGCCCCTACAGTAGCAGATGGGATGGTGCA